CTGGTTGTTCAGACCCAGAAACAAGTAACGCAAAACAAAATCTATTTTTATTTCTATTGATTATGTATAAATTACAGAGATGATGAGACTATATACATGGTTTAATATCAAATCTATGCCATTGTTATGGTTCTGAAGAATTACTGACGGTAACTGGTTTTCCATAATTTCACTACATCTCCCTAACTTGGTCCAAAGATTTCAGATTAGATAGATAAAAACAGATATTAATTTATTTTAAATATATTCCATTTGTGCAGCAAGGAGATGCCAGGTGAATCAGATCATTGTGGCTCCCCTTCCCTTTGCTTTCTCAAATATTTACAATTGAGGGCAGTACTAGCATGGACGATCTGCTCTCCTTACAGCTTATTCTATTTCTAGCCATCTACTCCTATCTTACATCTTTGCCCCACAATGATTTTTTTCCTATGCTTCTACTTGGAGATGTTCCCAGTGGTTGTATGCAGTGACCGTCACTCCTCCAAAACCGTAAGATTGCAAAAGAGAGCCCTAGAAACAATGTAATGTTATAGCGCTACTAGCTATTCGCCAAGCTCCTAACCCACCAAAGTTAATACAGGTTGAACTTCTCTAATCCAGCACCATCAGGGCCTGACTGGTGCCAAAGAAGTTACCTTGGTGTAGTAAAGATGGTTCTTCAAGATGTGTATTCCCGTGGGCGTTCCACTGTAGGTGTTAGGCCTGTCCTGGTGCCGCAATTCGGAGACTTTCAATAGCCGTAGTCAGCCATCTGCAGATGAGTGATGAGAATCTTGCTCTGTTCACAGCTTTTGCCTCATGCGTGCAGTCTGGCTCCCGCCAGTTCCTCTCACCGGCTCAAGTATCTGAAATGATACTCCAAACCAAGATTCTGGGTTGGGGAGGAGGGTGGGTAGTGGAGCACCCACAGGGACACACATCTCGAAGAACCATCGTTATTGCACCAAGGTGAGTAACTTCTTCGAGTAGTGTCCCCATGGATGCTCCATTCTAAGTGACTATACAGCAGTATTTGGAAATATCCAGATGGCGGGCTCCAGAATCAAGGATTGTTTGAAGCTGAAAGTGCCGTTGAAGCCAAAGAGGAGTCTGCCGCCAATCGCTGCACAATTGCATAATGGTTTATGAAAGTGACATTAGACAACCATGTGGCAGCTCATCAAATGTCCCGAAGGGGGACTCTCCATAAAAAAGCTGTGGATGTAGTTATGGCCCGTGTAGAATGTGCTTTCGGTTGTGATGGAAGAGGCTTATTACGAATAGAGTAACAAGTGGTGATGCAGGAAACTATGATCTTGGCAATATGCTGGAAAGACAGTGCCTTGCCCTTGGATCAGTCTGCAGGAGAGACTAATGAATGGTCCGATTTATGCCAATCTCGGGTCCTGTCAATGTAAAAGGCGAGCGCCCGACAGACGTCAAAAGTGTGGAGGACTGCCTGCTGTGATTAGGTTTGTGGTAGAAGGAGGAGGAATATGATCAACTTGTCAATATGGAATGTGGAGCAGACTTTAGGGATAAAGTCTGGGTGAGGTCGCAGTTCCACTCTATTCTTGTTGAAGGTTGTGTACAGCGGTCCTGACATCAATGCTGCAAGCTCACTGATCCTGCAGGCTGACATTATAGCAAGCTAGAAAACTAACTTGAGTGTTAACATCTGAAGTGATGTAGTGACCAAAGGCTCTAAGGGTACGTCTAGACTACAGGCTTTTGTCGACAGAAGTTTTGTCGACAGATACTGTGGACAAAGCTTCTGTCGACAAAGAGCGTCTAGACGACTTACAGTTCTGTCGACAAAGCAAGCTGCTTTGTCGACATGAGAGTGTAGACGCAAAGGTCAGCGTAGATGCAATAATGCCTTCTGTCGAAAGAACTCTGTCGACAAAAGGCGTTATTCCTCGTAGAATGAGGTTTACAGCTGTCGATAAAACTGCTGAGTTCTGTCGACATCATGTCGACAGAACTCAGTGGCAGTGTAGACGCAGGTATAGTTTTGTCGACAAAAGTCCACTTTTGTTGACAAAACCCTGTAGTCTAGACACAGCCTAAGAGGGGCCGAATAAGAGTGTCCAGCACTAGGTCCAGGTTCCAGTATGGGGGTGGGAGTCAGTGAGGAGAGTTAAGGTTCGTTAATCCTTTCAGGAACCTCTTCGTTGTTGGGTGGGCAAACACCGAAGTACTGTCTATCAAATGGCAAAAGGCAGTAATCGCTGCAAGGTGTAACCTCAAGGAAGCAATTGACAGACCCATTTGTTGCAGGTAAAGGGCGTAGTCGAGGATCTGGTGTATAGATGAGGCATGCAGATTGATCCCATTCACAGAACACCACAAAGCAAACCTTCGCCATTTGGACAGTTAAGAAGATTGAGTAGTGTTTCTCCTGCTTTGTATCAGGACATCTTTGACTTGGTCCAAACAAAGATCCTTGGATGGGCAGAACCAGCTAGGAGCCAAGTGGTTAGATGTAGAGTTTGGGGCTGCGAGTGCAAGAGGGAGCTGCAGTTCTGGGACACCACGTCTGGGAGGCTCGGGAGGGTGTATGGTGGCCTCAGAGACATTCGGTGAAGGAATGGAAACCACATTTGGTGTGCTCAGACAGAGGCTATGAGAATCAGCTTGGCCCCATCTGTGTTGATCTTGTCTAGAACCCTGAGTATGAGTACATTAGGAGGAAATACATATAGGAGGGAGTCCCCCCAATGGAGGAGGAAGGCATCCCCTAGAGATCCCTGACCTATGCCTGCCCTGGAGCAATAATATCTGCATTTCGCATTCTTCTAGGTACCGCGGCCGATATTTTCTTAGGTCTCGTGGCTGAAACCACCTCATCTTCTGAAACCACCTTTGCATAGGAAAAGGCAGTGCCGGATGTTCCAGGTTTGTCCCCTGTGCTCACCCTGCTCAGCGGGACCGGTGGCAGAGAATGCGCCGGTGAAGCCCGCTTTTCATTGGGGCTACCCCCAGAGAGGAAGCCCTACGTTTTTGTGCCATGGCAGGGCCTGAAGAAGACATAGACAAGGCGTCCGATCGCTGGAATGCCTTGTTGAATAAAATTATTTGAAGGCGCATTTCTGTTGCTCCGGGCCCTGGCTGTTAATTTTGAACAGTGGGCACATTTCTGTGACATATGAGCTTCACTCAAACAGCGCATGCAGGACGAATGTCCATCTGAAGCAGACATAGGCTCTCAGCAGAGATCACATTTTTGAAGCTGGGAGAATCCGGCATTGCGAGGTTTTTCATTCTTCTGCCCCCCCCTCCCCTTTTTTTTGCAGTGGCCTGAAGGACGGAGAAACGAAGAACAATGGAGTTTTGTGGGGGTCTTTATAAACTAAAACTATAACTACAACTATTAACTATAAACAGATAACCTTAATGACAATAAGTAAATAAAACCTATACATTTTTCCTTTCTGACTAGACAGAGATGAGAGAGAGCTCAGTCTGCAACCGAGGGCGGTTGAGAGGAACTGGAGGGAGCTGGACCACACACGAGGCAAAAGTTGCGAGACACTCACTGTGCAGTCTCCGATCTGCAGCGCCGGGATGGGCCTGACACCTACAGTGGAGTACCCATGGGGACACTACTCGAAGAACCAGAGAATTTTCCAAACCACAGGAGATCAATGTTGTCTAAAAGCATTACCAACACTTCCACTGCTTATTTGGCTCTTAGAAAACAATCAGGGGTAAATTAGAGCTAAATAACAGCATAGAACATGGAGACCCAGGACTGGTGGCTGTAAAAAATTTTTATGAGACCACCAGAAACTTGGCTCACTCATGATGTGTACATCCAGCTAACTAAAACTGTGCCAGACCACAGATATTGCTGGACCAGAGAATGCCAGACTAGAGAGGTTCAACCTATTCCAACAAAATAAACACCTACTTCGGCATTTGCACAGCATGTGTGTTTTTAACCGCTCGCATGTACTAATAACCATTTGTTTGTGCAAATGCATATTTTGCTTGCACAATTAAGTATGTTCAGAACTGCATACATTACAGGCAGAACCTGGATAGCTATATTTTATATATGGTCAGTGTTTGTTAGTCTAATGAACAGTTAAGTTGTCATGGGTAATTCTGAGAAAAGACAGACTAATGCTAAGGATGTTAAGTATCGGGTAATTGACTAATCAAATAGTCGATGCATTTTGCATTGACTATTCTATTAGTCAATAGGGCACCTCTGCCTTTGAGGTGTTGCAACAGCCCTTCAAAGGCGAAAACAACGTGGTAGCGTTTAAGTGGCAGTGTCGCACGGAGCCCAGGGTCAGGTGGGGAGTCCCCAGCTGATCCCAGGCTCTATGCGGTACTGCCACTTTGAAATGCCGCATGCAGCCTGGGGACACCCCAGCTGGCTCCAGGCTTCAAGCGGCGCTGACTCTTTGAAGTATCCTCTCTTCTTTCCCCCTCGCCTCTATCTGATAGAAGCAGCAAGGGTGGGGGAAAGTGACTAGTTGACTTTCTTGTCGACTATCTGATAAGCATTTGCTTATCGGATAATCAACTAGTCCTTCACGTCCCTAATACAGTAATTCCTCATTTAACACTATAGATGCGTTTCCAAAAATGTTCGTGCTAAGCAAAACCATGCTATGCGGGATCAATTTTCCCATTAAAAATAATGGAAAATGTGGGGGTTGCGTTTCAGGTAGTGGTGGCAAAGTCAATTTTTTGTTGGTGCTGGGTTGTCAACATCAACATTAGATATCTAACAACACAAGTTGCCGTGGTTTGTTAAAACACAAAGAAACACGTGAGTGAGCGGAGGAGCACTGTAACCACGTTTGTTCATCCGCTCATGCGTATTACCGCTGTTTTCATCAACTTATACCACTGCACGAAGTAGTCCGTCACTTGATTATTTTCGTGCTATTTCGGGGACAGTTGTGTTATTTGAAAAAGTTCCCCCCAAAAAATCGCGCTATTGCGAAAACATGTTAAACGGGCACATGTTAAACGAGTAATTACTGTACTAACACGGCTGCTTTAAAAAACACAAATTATCTTTTATTTTAAGAACTGGTTATCATAGTTACCTCTGTATCTGAGGTAATTTAGCTCTTTTTAACTTTGCACTATGACTAAGGTGCATTTTGGACAGTATTTGGCAAAGAAGCAGTTTTTTGGTGATCTTTTTATCATTCAGAGCATGTCCCAAACACATTGATTATAGCGCACCATCTGAACTCTGCACTGAATAAGGACTGTTTTAATTTCTTTTATGTGCTTTTCTGAAGTATTCTACCATAGTGCTTCACAACCATGAGTACATTTACCCTCACAACTGTCCTATAAGAGAGGGAGATTTTATAAACCCTGCTTTACAGATGCAGGATGGAGGCACAGACATTTAGTGACCTTTGAAGTTTAGTGCTGTTAAGTTTCTAGAGAACTCTTCTATTCCCATTATTCCCACCTCTATCTCTTCCGGTTCATGGATTTTACTGCAGGAAGATAAAATCTGTCCCTTTGTATTGAAAGCACTCCATGACAGGAAAAGTTGACTCCTGACACCTATGGTAATGAAGAGATGGATGGGAACTTTTATTTTAAAACAAAACCAAAGAAGTAGACATTATAAAAACAGAACATGAAATATAAATCATGAATCCTGATTTTCCGAACACATCTTAAATCTCTTCAGGTATTCTAAAATCTTGCTTTCAAAATGTTCCATGAACAGTCTAGAACATCTCCATCCTACAGTAAGTCCTATTTACAGCAATACAGCAGTCCTTATTCCCATGAGCAGTCCCATTGCGTTAAATTCATACTTAGTGGAAAGCCACTGAAGTCAATGGAGTTGCACATCAGGGAAGGATCTGGCCAATTGACTTATGAGGTAACATTCCCTTTAGTGAGGACTTCAGTGCCAGGCCCCGAATGATGCCACTGATGCTTGTAACTCCGGTGACTTCACTGCAGAGACTTCTGATTTACATGCAAAGTACAGTTAGGCTCAAGGAGAACATTGCACTGACTTCCAGGAAATACTGATTTACAAAGCTGTAGAAACAACTTTTTTTTAAAACTTTCAATAAAAGTTAAAAGTATTCTGGATGCTTTGTTGTTCTTCATGGTGTCTGAATTTCAGTCAGATGAATATGGTGAACTCAGCTAGAAGAGAGGAATGAAAACATCAGTTTTGAAGCAATTATTGCTGCACATTTAAAAATCAAAACTAAACAAGCCACAGTTTATTCAATTATTTCCAGTACCAAATACACAATCACAGTGCAAACTAAGCTCTGACAAACACAACAGCTCCCCAGCTTAGCCTCTTAAAGAGACATTGTCCAGATCCAGCACTATGCAGGAGGTGATGCCCCTATGCACTGATCAACACTCTCTGGGGAAACTAGGGGCTTGTCTATGTCGAGACTCAGAGTGTGGCAAGCCAGGATGTGGATATACAGCATGCTAGCTTGCTGTGCACTAACCTGCTGCATGGACTCAGCTACACACTCAATACTTGTCTATGCATGTAGCACCATAACTGCAGCTGCACCGCTGTAGTATTTTAGTGAAGATACAACTATGCTGAGGGGAGAGTTTCAAATCACACCAGGTTAGGTTCTGCCCACATTTATTTAAAAGAAATGCAAGAACCTGTCCTGCTTTGCGTGCAACTTGTAAGGGGGAGCTGCCTCATCTTCTGCTCAGAGCTCTGAATGCAATTCTTACCAGGCAAGAAAAAGAGAAAATGATTTTAAATATATAAATACATTTTGTAATATAACTTGTAAGCTGGCCTCCTCCCACCTTGCCCAGGATCCTGGCTAGTCTGTCTGCCTGAATATAGTGGTTCTCAAACTTTAGCAACCAGTGGACCCTACTTTTGATTAAAAAATTTTCAGATCCCCCAAGTTAGCTTCTAATTTTCCCTGGGTATGCTCAATCTCTGCTCAGTCCCAGGCCCTACCCCCACTCCATCACGTCCCCCCAAGGCCTCACTCCTACCCCCATTTTTCCTGCACTCACTCCACCTATACCCTGCCTCTTTCTAGCACCCCTCTGTTGGGGGAAGTGGTGGAAAGAGGAGGGATAAGGGTAGAATGAAGGCAGGAAGAAGACTTGGCAACTGGTCCATGGTGTGAAGGAGGCTCTAGGACAGAGGTAGAGGAGCTGATTAAAAGGACATGACTTGTAGAGCCCCTAGATTACTCTCTTGTCCACAGACCAGTTCGAGAGCCACTGGTGTAATACTTACATACAGTTTTGGGTGTTGAAGCTTAGAGATCCTCCATTGCAAACTTCTAAGATATAAAGTTCATAGTACAATGGTCACCATGAAAAAGACAACATTTCCTACCATACTGAAGAATTTTATTACAGTTAGAATAGGAAGGAACTGGATTACCTCCCATAGCACTGTATGGGAACTGAAGATAAGTGCTGACTTTTTAATGGTTACAACTGTACTCTCACCCTTTTGCACTGCACAAAAAGCCTTTCTCTCCACTGGCAACTCTTTCTCTCCACAAGCAAAAGTAGACCCCATTTGCTTAGTAGCAAATTATGAATGAAAAAACTTGCAACATACAGCAGTTTCAATTACTGTGGGACTCAGGTGTTCTCTCAGCACAGCATAAACACTTGGAGACATGGGAAGAAGATCTGATGGAGAATGTGGAACTGTGGAATCATATAGGCTTGAAAGAAACACAAATAAAAATCAATATCCTTAAAAATGATTAGGAAATAATGGGAAGAAATCCCTTTGCAGCATAATGTATCAATGAGGGATGCAGACATGGAAATAATCATTCCCTGGTAGATCTGTATTGGGGTAACACTGATCTAGCAGCAAGTAGCCTGAGAAAGAGCCAACAGCATGCTAATATCCTGTAGTCAGCCTCGTCCATGAAAGTACTCTTAGAAGATATAGCTATGGACACACAAAATTATGCTGTGCACCTTGTGCTATTCCAGGAGCACTAAAATGTCTTAAACCTTGTTTAATTTATATCTGCTGGCAGAGCAGGATCTGCCTTGTGATCTTGAACAGCACAGGAGCTCTTACATCACCTTCTAGTCACTTGAGCCAGGAGTTTCAGCTGGGAAAAGATGCAACCCAGTTTCCATAACAGTTTCTGGGGAAAAATTAAAAGCTGAAACTCCGGATCAAGAAGAGCTTAATGGCTACTCTAATTTATTTTTCAGTACCTTCCTGATGTCTAACCAGCATTAGGACTGGGCAGAGGGAGAGAGAGGGAGGGGAAGGTAATTTTCAAGCCCTCTTTATTTATTCTTACACTGAACACTCCTTTGCCAGTCCAGAGAACTGGGGTCTGTATCTCTGTGTTGCTATCATTAGGTATTTCTATGGAAAAAACTGGAATAAATGAAACTGCAGGGTGAAGGGAGGTACACAGACTCAGTGAATAACATCCAAAGTGTGAAATAGCTTAGATTACTCACATTTTGGAGATTGGGATAAATACAGCAGGGACATAACCTTTGTCTCCTCCTTCTGTAGGTCTTGAGACTAAAAAAGAATCAACGTTAGGGACATTTTAAAAACTGCCCTAAAGTTTCTATGCTTATTATTTATTGAGACTTAATTCCAAATATTTTAAAAGCAGCAGAACATAATATATTCAAAAGGAAACATAACTAGAGGCCTGCAAATTTGTGGATATCCGGGGCTCATTTTTGTGTATACAGATGCAAAATTTTGTATCTGTGCAGGGCTCTAAACGTAACTGTTTAATCATAAACAAGCAACAAGAAAATGAACAGTTAAGACAAGGCTTCAATCTGCACAGATTTGCACACATAAGTAACTGGACAGAAGAAGTTCTTTTGAAATCATGAGGACAATTTAAGTACATTACAGTTACGTGCTCAAATCTTTGCAGGCCTGAGCCTTTAGAATCCAGTCCTGCAAACATCTGCCTTTAACTGAAACCTTTCGTGAGGGGACAAAATAAGATTGTGTTCATTCATAGCCAATCCTTATTATTCTAGCAATTTTAGTCAACATATATTGCATAGGATCTGATGTTTGTCTCTGGAGTTGTAAGTTACTCTCATTGGTTGTTTGCCAATACTAAGTCCCCTGAATCACAAGTGGGAGGTTCCTGGAATGAAGAGGAAGCAAGTGATACTGCTGTTCTGTTAGCAGACAGGCAAGTGATATATATAAACAGAAATAAAGAGCCAAAACACAATGCCAGACATGTAACTGAAAGACGTATGATTTTTGTGAACAATGAATAATATCCAGTAATGTGACTGTTTTCACAGAGATGTTTCTTGGCCTGTGTATACCTAAGTGTCATTGTTATTTATTGTTTGTGTTGCTGCAGCACCTACAGATCATAGACTAGGGCTCAACTATGTTATGTGCTGTTCAGTCACACAACAAAAACACAATCTCTGCCCTAAAGAGCTTGCCATCTAAGTATATGACAAGCAACAACAGGTGGAAACAATAGGTAGGTAGAGAGTGCACAAGGAAACAAGAACAATTCTTATAAAGGCATTATCAAAAATAAGGTAACGTTTACACAAGTAAACATCTTTTTTCCTAAGAAAAAAGTTCATTTGTATGTCACCTGAATTTAATGTTACTTTCCAAAAAGCATAATATAGACTGTAGAGCCCAACCTTCATTTGGCTGACAGCTGTAGTATTTGCCAAAGGCTTTATCTTTGGGAATGTCTGGATACAGATACTTCAGTGGATTTTCAGGAACATTGTCTGCCAAAATAACTTTGTAATCCCGCAAAATATCAGCAAATGGCAGTGCTGTTAAACGACCTTTATTATAGGGTTCCACTGAGTGAAACCTTACTTCTCCTGTAAAAACACAAAGGCAATATAATTGTGAATAGGTAAAGAGATCATTGGTCATAATCAGTTACTCACTTCACCTGCCATTCCTAGTTTAGGTTGCCCTGAATTTTACATTTTTAAACTTCACTTACCATTTTCTGACTGGTCCACCCAGGTAAAAGTAATTCCTCCCAGGTTGCTTTCACTAAACCTTAATAAAAATGTTCCAGGCATTTTGTCCTTGAGCAAAACTCGTTCTTTCTCCTTGCTCACAAATCCCATTACATACCTGCAAGTATAACAAAAAATCATGGCTTTACTTACAGGGTAACTACAGCATCCATTCTATGGAATTCCTTTTGCAATTCTTATATTGCAGTGCCAGATATATGCCAAGCAAAGTAAAAGGCTGGTTTAATAATGGGCATTGCTTTAGATCTACTAACTTCATGTGGAGCTTTTGTAAGGAGTTTTATCTGTAAAAGAACACAATGTAGGTCTACCACAGAGTGGAACATGACAAAATGTATTATATTACTTGCCTGTAAACTAACTAAGTCCACAAAGGAGAAATCTAAAATCCACTTTGAATAGTTTCAGTAGAGTTTTCTTCAGGCTATAAATAATTGAAAACAATATGGCATACTTGGCCTAAAAATCCCCTTTGGAAATACTTTTCTGTAATGCTAAGTGTAGACTTAATAAAGAGAAGGGATAGATGAGATAAGCATGTTACATTAATGGGAAAGTTGCCAGTATATTGCTCACCCATCAATCCAAAGAGGAAGAATGTGTTTTTTAATTAAGTCCAGTATTGCTTCAATCCATACCCAAAAGGTAAATGACTTTCCAGGTAAATGTTCCTATTAATAAAATAAACAAATAAAAAGATAATTTCAAACTGCATCTTTATCACAATTTCAATGATGCATATTCCTGTCATTTTCACAGGAATAGTTCTAGTTTCTATTTGTGAGAATGATAGAGAAATGTATTCAAAGCAGCAATTCAAATCTTACTATCTCGTGTAAAAGCAAAATATCTAGATGATTTGCTTTTCAAGATCTTTAGAGGAAGTGCTTCACTTTATATTCTATTTAGAATAATTTGTGTCTATATCATTTCACCCTCACTAGGAAATCACAGCTTGAGAGCACAACATGCAGCTATTTTCTTCCAAAAATATTTAAATATATCTATATATTTTAGAAATGTGCATCTGTCTGTGAGTCTGTTCAAGAACTCCTAAATGGTAAGAGCTAGGTCTACTAAATTTGGTATGCAGCTTCCTCTTATTCTAACTTAAAGCAAGGTCAGGGTTTGGTTGGGCCAGGAAAACAGGAAGTTCAGGGAATGGTACTGTTTTCCATAACATGGAAAGGCAGCGGACACAGAGAGAAGGGACATGATAATGAGAGTGTCCACTGGGGATAGTGAGCATGGCGGGGGTGGGGAGGAGGGAAGCTATATTGCAGAGTCACCACTGGAGACAGCTGCACCACTAAGAAAGTGGTCACATGACTGCGGCTCGCCATCTTGTCTGCCAGCAGACTGGGTAAGTGCCTTCCTGCTCCAACCTCCCCACCCCAGCACTGGAGTTAGGGAGAGAAGGCCCTTTCTGGATGCATGGGCTGGAGGAAGAGAGAAGGCCCCTGCCAGCTGGGAGGGGAGAAAGTCCCTGCTGGCTGGAGGGGGGAGGGGTGAGAGGAGAACAGAGAGCCCCACTGGATGGGACTCTCTGTCCTGAGCCCCTCATCACTCTCCCCCCCATTCCCAACCCCCTTGCTCTGAGTGCCTCCTAAACCCCCACCCTGACTAATGCACCCCCCTATATGCCCCAGACTCCTGCTCTGCCTCCCACATTTACAAAGTCCTTCCCTGACTCCTGAACCCCCCACAATGCCAGCCCCCTGCCTTGAAGGACCTGGGCAATGCCAGGAAAGTCTTCTAATATTACAAATATATCTTGCAATATATTTTAGAAATGTGTGTCTGTCTGTCTTTCCGTGAGTCCGTTTGTTCAAGAACTCCTAAATGATAAGAGCTAGAACAACCACATTTGGTATGCAGTTTCCTCTAAGCATAACTTAAAGCAAGGTAATAGTTTGGTTGTGCCAGGACAATGGGATGTGCCTGGAATTCAATTGTTTCTCATAAAACAGAAAAGGTAGGGGTCTGGCCGTTATACTGCAGAATGACCATAGGGGGCAGCAACGGGCCAGAGATGGGGACTGGGACAGCTGTAGCCCCACTGGGCCAGCTTGGGGCAGGAGTGGAGAAAGGGACAGCTACTATATATGAGAGAGTTTATCTGTTTGTGGGTCAGTGTTTGTCTGCCCCCACTTCTCCAGCTGTGTCCACTGTAGAGGCTATGGTCAGGAGTTTCTCACCTGGCCCTAAGCTCTTGTGGTGAGGTAGGGCTGGAGTTGTTCTCTCCCCCCAGGGAAAACTGAACCTCTCATCGCCAGCCCCACCCCAGAACAATGATTTAAATTAAGAAAAACACAACTTATTTGAGTTAAGGACCCTAGCAATTCTGAGTAAATTTTCCAGTTTTAAATAATGCATCTTTAATATGAACATATTGGATTTATTTTCCATACTCAGTATTTGTCTGTTTCTGACCGGAGTATTTAGATGTATTGACTTACAGACAACTAGTTCTGAAATATGTTTGTTTTAATTTACAAATGAGCATTTGGAATAATTTAACTTTTAAAAACAATTTTAGAGTCTGGCTCCCATTAGTGATTATATTTTCTTAAGTCAAGTCATAAGCTAACTGGAATGGTCAAAGAAGAATCAGACAAGACTACTGACTAATGGCCAAACCATTAATTTTCTATGGATGGCATGTATGTGCCAATCTAAATTGCATCACCATTAAAATGTCTTTTATTAAAAAGGAGTTCAATTTCAACAACTTTAGGACAGGTCATTTAGTGGAGTAAATGATAACCAGGTGTGATTTAGTCTGAACTCCTCCCGGCCAGATTTAACCATTAAGGTCCTTGTTGGTACTTTCCAGTAAGTAGCATTTTAGAAATAATTCAGTATGCTAGGCCTGGAAATCCCGACACAGGAAAGCTCAGGATGGGGCCAATCCTGATCTCATATATGTCAAGTGGGAGATTTGTCAGTGATGTCAGTGGAGCTGAATTAGGCCTGCATGCAGGCACTCAAAGGAAAAAGAAGAATAATCTATTTTCATAGTCATACCTTGCAGAACTTTGCCCAGGACAGTTGATAATCACTGTAACTAATTTGTTGCCCTAAAATTTAAAAAGAATGAGTCCATTTTTCAGAAGTTCCTGAAATAGGTTCATTTATGATATTTGATATAAAAGCATTTACACTGTACATTACATTTAACAGAATAAGACTGTTATAAGCACACTTTCTCTCTAGGTAGACCTACAATTTAAATAGCACAGCAATACTCTGAAGAAATGTGGGTCTTCTTCTATATACCTTTACACACGATTTCACTTTTTATCAGAGTTGCTGATCCTAGGCTTCACTCACACTTTTCTGCTCAAATTTCTAATAGGAAAATCTTTTATGATACATACATTCCTACCAATTTACTCTTCTGTAAGTGCTAGAAGAAAATAAATACAGTATCTTTAGAATAACACCACTTAACATGTAGTTATTGTCATATTATTATTTCAAATCTTCAATGTCTAAATAGGAAGTAATGTTTCTCCTGTGAAATAGAATAAATCTCAACCTCATTTTTATTTATTTTTTGTTCTAGTTACTGACATGACATAGAGGAGAGAGACCTTGTTTAGACAGGGAATGGCACCAAGAAATTGTACCAAGTACCATACATTCATCCAGATCACTTGAAATGTTTGGGGTACGAGTGAGAAATGGGATAGGAAATCTTCTAGCCTGCTTGTCTTGCAGGAGTCTAGGGTGTAGGCACAACTCCTGGGGGTAAGCAAACACGTCCCTTTCTCAGTTTTTTTCTGTTGTACATATGCTTTCTCTTGTTGTGGTTGCAGGTCTTTTTAATTTTCACTCCTAGGGATCCAGAGCTAGAGCTACAATCCTATTAATCAAATGTTGCGGCTGAGACCAGGGGTACGTCTACACTTGCACCCTAGTTCGAACTAGGAATGCAAATGTAGGCGACCGAAATTGCTAATAAAGCGGGGATTTAAATATCACACGCTTCATTAGCGTGATCTCACCGGCGCATTACTCTGCTCAACAGCTGTTTCGAAAGTGAAAGTGCGTGCCGGGACGCGTTAGTTCGAATCAAACCTCTTGGTTCGAACTAACGCGTCCTGGCGCGTAGTTTCACTTTCGAAACAGCTGTTGAGCAGAGTAATGCGCCGGTGAGATCACAAAGATCCCAGTCTTAGAAGAAGTTGATTATGTGCACACTGGGCGGCGTGCACAACTTTTCTTTTCTTCAACCTTCACCACCATCGCTTCACTGCAGAAAGTGGCTCTGATAAAAGTTCCCTCCTGTACAAGTTACTACAGAAAGTGGTTTCATTTCTCTAGGCAAATTGCTTTCCCCCTCCCTATCCTCCTGACAGAAGTCCTCCCCCAAACCATTAGCAGCTGCCTTAATCCCCTTTTGCTGCCCCTCAAAAGTGTCTCCCCATTTCAGCCTCCACCAGAAATAAAATCTAGCTAAGGAGTTCCATATGGTCTGTCAACACCTTTTCTTCCCTCCCTCCATCAAAAAGGGCATTCAAACCACTCAACATCCACCTCCTGACTGACATTAGAAAGGACAGCCTCTCCAATTCTTAATCACAAATAATTCTACCAGCTTCCTCCAAAGCCAGAATCTCCTTTCTGGAGGACATGTAGTTGAAACCTTCAAGAGTCCATCATACTGCCAGGAAGCTAATTATACCCACTTCCTGCCCCTAGAGAAGCTTCCTTTTCCTTAATCAGAAGAGAAGGAGTGATCCCCTTTGCCTTGAGGAGACAAGTGACCCAGAAAATAAAAGGTTCTAGAATGCTGTGCTCTCTGCTCGCTATGTTCACCTACCCCTCCCTCTCCCTCTGGCCGCTTTCGCTTTGTTGAGAGAGCCTGTTGACGCTGATGACGTGTTGAAGTAATTCTGTCGCTGGGCAGGAAAAAACTTGTACAGGCAGTCCCCAGGTTACATGGATCCGACTTACATCGGATCCCTACTTACAAACGGGGTGAGGCAACCCTGCACTAGCTGCTTCCTCCCAGCAGACCAGGGAGACGCGAAGCTAGCGCCCCCCAGCAGACCAGGGAGACGCGGAGCGGCTTTTCTCAGCAGACACCTCAGCTTGAGAATAAAGGACTGAGGGAAGTGAGGTGTGGGAGAATAAAACTGAGCTCTGGAAAAATGTTTGGCTAGAGTTTCCCCTACAATATGTACCAGTTCCGACTTACATACAAATTCAGCTTAAGAACAAACCTACAGTCCCTATCTTGTACGTAACCCGGGGACTGCCTGTATATACAGATATAGATATAGAGATTAATGTTTTTAAACAAACCAAGACTGCCCTTTCATTTCATAATAAATTATTTTTTTTTAACATAGCTTACCATAGTTTGTTGCAACTATGACACTATTTTGCTTAGCCCAATCATCTGAAAGTTCACAAGCTGAGGTACTTTTTGTTAAGAAACGTATCTTTTTACATAAAAGTATTAACAGACAATTAGCACTGCTGACAGTGCCAGAGATAGCTGTGTTACTGAAAAGTGGTGTGGCAACAGCACATGAAAGCACAAACTACAAGGAGTCCTATGGCACCTTTAAGACTAATTAATTTATTTAGGCATAAACTCTGTGGGCTGGAACCCACTTTGTCAGATTCATGAAGCAGAAACTTGAGTTTGGCAGGGATGTATACACATATGCAAAGATCAGTGTGTTACGTTACCATGCAGAGGGCCAGTGCTAATGAGGTCTATTCACTCCTTGAAGATATGTCTCATTCCCAATAGTTGAAGAGATAGGTTGTAGATCCTTGATGCTATGTAGGAGAGAGTTTAACTGGGGGCTGTGGGTAATGGCCAGTGGTGTTCTATCACTTTCTTTGTTGGTCCTGTCCTATAGTAGGTGACTTCTGGGTACCCACCTAGCTCTGTCAATCTGTTTTTTCACTTCCCCAGGTGGGTACTGTAGTTTTAAGAATGCTAGCTAGAGATCATGTAGGTGTTTGTCTCTGTCTGAGGGACTGGAGTTAATGCGGTTGTATCTTATGGCTTGGCTGTACACAATGGATCATGTAACGTGCTCGGGATCAGTGGTTCCCAACCGTTTTTAACACCAGGGACTGGTAAACACATTCAGAAACTTTTGGCGGACTGGTAACGTTTTATTTGCAGATTTAGATATTCATTATGCAAATGATGAATATGCAAATATGAAAAATAAAACATTACCAGGCTGCCAAAAGCCCAACCCCCTGAACCCTCAGTGCCAGCTGTAACCTCTAGAGCTCTCCACCATGCCAGCCACTGACCCCAGAGTCCCTTGTGCCCAACCCACCCAATGCCAGCTCCCCATCCCAAATGCCTCAGTGACAGCACCCCGCCCCTTGGAATCCCCCCCACCAGACCCCACAGTATCAGCCTCCTATTTCTAGAGCCACACTGCACCCTATTCCCCCAGAGCCTTCCCCAGTGCCAGCCTCCCCTCCTAGCTCAGCCTCCAGAGCTCCTCAGC